ATGTTCTCAACCATACTTTCGACGAAATTGATAAAGCTCATTGTAGATAAGCTTCCTTATAGGACCGCATCTTTCCGGAAGACTTGGTTTCTGTAAAAATTAAACAGTTAGTTTATATATATATATATATATATATATATATATATATATATATATATATATGAATATGTGCCCCTTGCTGAGGCTGAGGTTGCATTCATGATGCTTCTTCACCGCAGTTGGGCTAAACCAACGTACACTTAAACTAGGTCTTTTTAATGTGGATAAAATTCATTATATCTTATTTGGTTTGTTCTGCGCACTTGATAATCTTCTCCTTACTTGCACACGTCGCTCACTCAAAATGTGGTAAACTTGCGTAATTTTATCGCGGGGTATTTTTTAAATAACTTTCAGACATTTTGTACTTATCACGGATTCACTTATAACCAATTTTTTCTATATGCTCATTTAGCGAGTATTTTTGTCGTCATATGCGTTTACTTTAATCGATATCGGCATTTCGAATGATTGGCTGTTGTTTGACATTCCAGGTGTGGCTGTGCTTGATGTGCATATTGACAAGGTGCCTACCTGTCTATTACCCACTACCTCGTCCATACTGGCTCCAGGAAACAGTTTGTCGTTGCTGGAGGGGACGGGGTGCACGGTTCTTGTGGTCGTGCTAGGCTCGAAGAGTGGTTCCATGCACTCAGTGTGGAGCGGCCTACGGTCCAGCCACCGCTTTGTGTGCACTTGATTCCCCAAATACAACGTGCTTGTGTTTGTCTGTGAAGGAGTGTGGGCCGGCTCCGTTGATGAAACGTGGCATTTATCCGCATGTCTCCCGGTCTTATTCCTTCGGATTTACACTGGATATGGAGTGTGTGGATGGAGCTGTGGGTGGTGCAGCACAAGCCACCCATGGTCCCTCTGTAGGCGCAGGCGTCCTGTGGCTCACCACAGTGACAGGCAAATCCGAAACCGGATGCCGCCAGCCATATATGAATATTTTCGGGATTTATTATAGGTGACAGTGTCGTACCGAATTACAGGTAAATTCATTAATATCAATCTTAAAACCATTGAGTTAAATCACTCACCTGCTATGACTTCTGGTCGAAAACGACTGTGAATTTATGTTATCAACCCAACACCTAATGATCTGTGGCGTCCAATCAGGTGTTTCTACCTTGGTTGTGACCCCAAACACAGTGCTTCCATACAGGTTAAAATGCATGCTGTTATCTCCATTCAAGGCGTCTTATGATCCTTTCTTGTGTGATTTCTGATTAAACATGAACGGATGTCAGTGGCTTTTCATGTGTTGTATTCCTCTATTCCAAGTCATTACGGTATGAATGCTTCCCACCACCACTCTCTATCGATACGTCGTGAACACTGATCGCCCGTTTTGACCCTCCTAACTTTGAGCAATCGCGCACTACCTTATCTCGTCATTTGAGCAATGCTCTAATATAATATTATGTGCTAATCGACTCCATAATTGGACTCGACGAACGACCTGCTGACTCAAAAGAAAAATGGTAGATGCGGGAGCTGACAGAGGTGTCATCTTACTGCAGTGGCTAATGGCTGGTCACTTCTGACTAATCACATGTACATAGGTAGTTAGTGGCATGTTTTGATAAAGATGATTTTGTTATTAAGCTTGTTTTGCGACCGATCGATGACCAAATCCTCTTACTAATATTTACCCCCCGTAAAATGCAGTTCTAACCCTATGGGGGTAATTACCCCTAGGTTGGGAACCTGTAGTATAGCGTCACATTTGCTGATCCTCTAAGAAATTCACGGCTTGAATGAACTTGCTCATAACCGGTGCTGAATATATGAATATTGCTTTGTAGCTAGTAACATCTTCGAGAGCGTTAATCCGACTGGTCGTTTATACAGGGTGGTGGTAGCCAACTTGGGGCAGTTGACAAGTACATATGACTTTTTCGGAATATGGGTGATGAAAGTCCCTTCTCGTTTTTGCTACAATAAAGATGTGTTAGTTGCAGTGGTATTCGTGTTTTCTATTCGTTTCTGGTTTCACTTCTGAAGTTAGCAAGCAGCTTCTTTTTCTCACATTGCTAACAAGCAAGGTTAGTGGATACCGACTGGTAGGTTTTTAAACTGATGATCCTACAGCTATTAAATACTAGGATTGGGTAGTAAGACAGCCACAGGAGGACGAATGGAAAAAGATGGCGCAAGTTTTCAAACATACCAAGCAATACAAATCAACCGTATAAATTTGCATTGTTTCGTTGCTGAACATAGGGATTGCTGGCCATATAGCGGCTGTCGGGATTGTACAGGGAAGTAGATCGGGATGGTTGTGCTAGCAACAGTTGAACCATCTACCTAGTTTAGTACAAGGAGGTTTAGTCGAACTGAATGAAAAGTATTTCATTGCAATTAATACAATCTCTCCACACAGATAGGCATCCAGATGATTCTAATAATAATAATGATTTTAATAATTCTTATAAGTCTAGACCAGGAAGAGGCCATTCAAAAGTATGATCGGACAGATAACGTTACTTGGACTTGGGGTGCCCAAACTTTTCGCAAGGAGGGCCACGTTTTTATGGTAAATATATTCAGTTCAACATAAGCTTTTTGCTTGAGTTTTCAATGTGAAGGGTAAACAGCGATTATTGGGTATTCATTTTTCGTGATTTAATTCAGACCCCTTTAGCAAAAGCACTAGCTTGGTTTTTCCCAGTTGGTTAAAAATAAACAGTACTTCATCATTTATTTTTACCAGCATTTGACCTCCTTGAATTTTGCACTCGTAACCTCCGCAAATTTTCTCTAAGCTATATTGTCGCCTGTATGGAAAATATCTAAGCTTTAACTCTATGTTTCTTGATGAGGCCGCTGGCCAGTTCAGATCTTAACGCAGTTGGCTCGCGGGCCGGACTTTGTACATTTCTGACTTAAATAAAAGGAATTATAGATGAAACAGTTTGTATTCTGCTCAGCAAATCAGTTATTCCATGCTATATAGTAATAACTATAGATAGCTCAGGTTGCTCATTCGTTATAAGAATTGTTCGCGAAGCTTTTTAGTTTCGCTACAGGCGTTTCATCACCAATCGTGGTAACATCATTAGTGCGTTAGTGTGTGGATTAGCAGAGAGATGTGCAAGCAGGTACCAACCGGGAAGTCACGCTTGTAGCCTTTTATTGGTCACCTTCATTGGTCACTTTGGCAACTGACCTTTGCAAATGGCCTCTTGCACACACGCCTGTTCGACACGGTCCATTTGCCTCCGCGGCTGAAAGTGTTGCCTGAGAAAGTCGTATGGAATTCCCTTCCACTAGGCGTATTGGCGGTGGTGGTTCTTTGTTCCTATATTTGCGTAGATGATGTCCCGTTCAGCGTGTCGATTAACTGAAGTGTTCGTAGAGTACCATGCTTCTAAGAACTCCCGTGTCTGCTTCTTGTTTCCACCTGATATAATCTTTACCTTTTCCTCATAAAAATGATTACCTGTTTCACCCAGGTGTACAGAAACAAGTGAACAAGACCCATAACTTGTATTGCCTTCTACTTTATGTATATTCTGTCCACCGTAGGTTCAGCTTAACTTTATGTGGTATCTTTGCATCAGCAATGCCGATCAGTGTAAAAGCATAAGATTCCTGTACTCTTTTCAGAACTTTGATTGAACAGCTCCAACTTGGGGACAATTGCGGGTCATCAATGATAGGGACCAGCGATTTGAACATGGAAGGCCGACCGATATGTAACAATAGGTCTCAAGGTTATGTCATTTTGAAGTACACGATTTAGTAAAATTCCTAATGCCAGCATTGTCAATGAAGTAGATGGCTGCTGTCGAAGTAAAACTCAGTACGTAACCAGATATCCGCACACCACCATGTCTTCCTTTAAAATGGTGCTTGGATTTTTGACTTTGGTGATGTGGCTTATGAGCAGGAGATCATTACCACAGTCATTTTCGTCAACTGAAGTTAACAATGTGGGTAGTATGCCTACCATACAGTTGGGTAACTAATTCAAGCGAATCGTGCTGATAAATGTGGCCTTCCAGTTGACCAATTATCATTTCCATGGCACTCAACGTTGCAGCTTCTAAGAATATCCGCTCTACTAACATTAACACTTAATCAGATGCATGTACTCGATCAATCCAAAGTATTTGTCAGACATGTGATCATGTCATGAAGGAGAAAAACCAAAAATTCCACTACTTTCATGTCTTTCTGTAGGATGATTACTAAATACATACCGTGCTTTCTAGCCAAACAGAGGCTAGATGGACTACGCACCGCTGACGATCCCATAGTACAAAACGGCTTTGCAGTGATTTTGCGGGCGTGTGCTTGCTGGACGACCAAGCTTAAATGTAGTGAACCTTTACTTAATCACGGAATAAATATTGAAATTTTCTGATTAGCCTTTCCCATATATGTACTTTCATGCACACGGGGAAACTTGAATGTCACAGTCAATAACAAAAGTCTATTTGTTTGTGATGTCTGCATTTTCCACCGACTCGAATTGTGTTTAATTAGTAAAGCAATGTTTTGATGGTTGTCAGGTAGACATGTGAGTGTTAATGAATCAAAATATATAACTTAAATCGATAAACCTTGACTGTTCTAACCGATGCGAGTGCACAAGTTGATTTTAACAACCGTCGGAGGCCTGTAAAACCCCCAAGTATTGTACAAGAAGAAACTTGTCAACACAGGCGTTTGAGCTAGTGCCGCTTCATAGAATTGGGCATCCAAAAACTAGGATTTATATAAGAAAATAAGGGCTTCCGTTATTTATGAACTTATTTCGTTCAAAATTAATTCAATACTAAAGGACCGACTGGGAGCTGGTGGGAGACATGCTTCGCAAACACACAGAGGTTGCTACAAAGCTGAATGGAATTTGTCTATGCTTTTCATTTAGTAATGCGTCTGAACTAAGGAGGAAATAAAGACCGTCATAATCTCACGGCGCATATCAGCAGAGTACTTCAAAACGCTTCAATATAAAAATTTGTATTTACTTGCACAATACAATCTAGATCAGCCAAAAGAATAGGGAGAAACATAGGGGCAATCTAAAAAGAGACCATTGGTCGGCACCGCATTTAGACACCAAAAAAGAAGTTTAGGGTAACTAATGTGAATAAGAGAAATCGGTAAAGGTCGTTTGTGTAACTCGTACTCAGGCGTTGTGTTCATGTTAGTTAAAATCTCCCGGGTGCACAGGACATGTTGCTCATCCACCAGTTTCCGTTGTATAACATGTGAGCTTGAATGCGAAGCAGCCATTCATACACATTGGAACCTTGAAAATGAACAATTTGCTTCCTATTATCGTCATCGATGTATTGCAGGATAAGCTGATCTGGGATAAATGTACAATAGTTCCAAGATGTCCATCGTTACGATTTTCTCCCCACAATAAGTTTATGGTGGGAACTAAACGTTTTAGCAATGTAAAACTCATTTTTCGAGGTTATTGGTATTGTAAAATTGACTGTTAAGTACGACAAGGGAAACCAAAAGCTTATAGGGATTTGTAAATAAAATTGACCGTTGCACTGGTAAAATTATAATTTCCATAGTGTCATGAACCTAGGTTGCCAAATAAATATTCCTCCAACGTGGCATTGACAGATTTTAGTATTAAGTTAGCTTTGTACTCAATGTAGGCATGTTACTTAGCAATAAGTTCTAAGCAAACAGAATGAAAGTGTACCGCGAAACGTCGTTACAAGTATTGTTCCCCGGCAACACCGAACTTCACTTAGTAGCAGGACTTTCGACTGGCTTCAAAAGGTACCGGGTTCCACTCGGGTCCTTGCTATCTCTGCTTGATAAGTGTGAGTAACTAAGAAGCCAGTTGGGGAACACAGTGCTTTTTGACAGTCTTTACTCTATGGATGCAGTCGAGTGGCCGAATTGACCGTGGTTCATTTAAAAGCGAATTTTAGTCGAAATTGAGACTGCACATTACAATCCATCTACCTAGTGAGTGCCTCCAAATGAACCCCGATAACTCGGGAGTTAGCTGATAGATGTTTCCAATTTCTCTACTTTTTGTTCCAGATAATTAGGGCTTTGTTTCCACTGCTTGTAGCTGTTAGCCAGCATAACCTCATTATATCTTCCAAAAGATTCCTTTTTGTATCAAAAACATTGAGCGTGGTAAAAGCTGTAACCTAGGTTCACATATTCTGAGTGGCCCAATTGTTGGAACTTTTAACAAAGCGACTGTACCGTAACACCGTGGTCCAAGTCTGCAGTTACATCAATTATTTATTAAGATTCAACGCAATAAATATTATAAGGTTGCGTTAATGGCAATTGAAGACTGGATCGTCCAATGTATGGAGCCATTTGAACGCGTCAAGCTGCTGTTCCTGACGATTTGACTAACATTAATTAGACAAATAGCACACATGAAACTTAGCATTTGTCAAGTTTATCTGAGGTTTAGATAATGGTAATTGTAGAAATCCCTATACGACGACTGCCATTTAATGTTATTCTATGCTGTTCATATGTTAGCGAAGGTACACTTAGTCACCCGCTTAATGAGCGGTGAGGACTGAAGTCATGCAAATAATTGCTTTCAGTCTGAATTAAAAGTCAGTACCAAACGTTAGTTATAAACTAAAATTGGTCAATGAAACTGCGAATACCATGTCAAAATTCTTTACTGATACGTAAAGTTACTTCGCAACAATCATTTTTAATTTGCAGGTTTTCGCGCACAGTTGTGATAGATGTGTACATTTCGCAGTTTAAACATGATTCGGCAATGTTTGGGCCCAACGTGCTCCGGTTGAATTGGTTAGCAACACATAAAGGAGTAACAAAATGTGAGACAAAGCTTTTGAGACCATTCAGCCGGTCTCTTTGTCCCCAAATCCATCAACAGCGGCACGTTTTAGCAACTTCACGGTCACCACAACATTTCAACTCCAGCCGTGTTACCGCTTTTAGTTAAAGTCAGAAGTTATACTAACTCAACCGGTTAAAAGCCGTCACTCTAAACAAGCTTACGCAACCGTTACGGTTTGAACTACATACCCTGTGTCTGGATTGCGTCAAACAATCTCAACGGAGTCCACAGATTGCTTTGAAGTTAACAGCAATACTTCCGACCACAATGCAACACTCCAGCTGGACAGTTAGGATATTGCTCTGTACCAATGCCGCACTCCACAGCCGACTGGTTTCGTCTATTCTTGGATTCCTTAATCATAGTTACTTTGAGTTTAGCGGGATAACCGAAACATTCTGGTTAGCGGCTAAATCAACGCTCGTCAAACCACTGAAAACGGCGAAAAGCGCTTAACGGATGTTAAAATTTTACTGAAGATTTCAAAAAAGAAAAATCAAGTCATAGTTTGGCAGATGGCAATTCGGAATTATGTTAGTTTTCGCCATTCGAACCAACAGGAGAGGTAAATGTATTGTGGTCCTGACAGTAGCTAGTGGATAAAATGATAGACTATATCACTTACTATAAAGTCCTTTGATGTGCTGATATGGAATTACATCGTTTCTTAGACTTGTAATTTTACTAGTCGAAACAAGTTGTTACATATATGAATATATTGATCTGTATCCAGGTTAAGATTTTAGGAACGGCTCGCGGATTTCAACTATGTTTATTTCTAATCCTGTGTTATCTCACAGAAATTGAGACAAGCAGCAATGTTGCCCACCTATTGACGTTAATCATCAGGCCTCTCTTGAAGCTAGTGTGGCTAAAATACTGCGGTTGATTAGGCGTTTCCACGCCACAAATCCCTGTGGACATTACGCTTAAACGCGACGGCACCAGAATATAACTTTGTACAGCGGTTAACATCACAGCGAATTAACAAAAAGAGGTGGGTTAATAAGTAGTCTAAGTGGCTGCAATAAAAGCAAAAGGCCACAGCCAAAACAAATAACAATATGTTTTCAGCTAACGTCACTTCTAAGTTCCTAAGTACCCTACACCGCGAGGCAAGCAAGCACTGCAAGTTTGCACCTTAACTCACGCTTTTTGCGTTGCAGTTAGACAGGCCGTGCAGTATGAAGTGGCAAATAATTTTTGCTAAATTCCTGGCTGAAGGAGTCCATCTGTGGACGCAATGCACTAGGCACGGCTGTTACCAAAATACAGACATATGAAGCGAATTACCCATCTGCTTAGAAAACATTGAAACAAAGTGGCTCTACGCTCTCATTTCGCATGCTAAACACATTAATCAACCAGCAGATCCACGACATACATACGGCATGTATGATTTATGTTGAGCTTGGTCAGATGATGAAAAAATTATTATTGTCAGACCGGAATTTCAAAAAGGAAATGTGCAAACTTTTTCTTTCCAAGCAAACTTCAGTCACACAAGTGAAGATTGATTAGAAAATTCCAAATTCTGTGATGTAGTTTTGGCATTACAGAAACATAGTCTATATAACTTATAGGGAATTCGAGAACTCGGTTGCTTCTTAATGGATCCGGCTCATATAATCATAAAATTATGAATGAATAACTTGGCGATTATAATTTAGTGGCTGTGATTAGGAACTCCTTTGTCTGAGTATGTATAACAAAATTGTTGTTTCTGTAATTGTACTCATTGCTGTCCAGTAAGCTACTACCATTATGCCTATGGCTAGCTAGTGGTGTCATGGCAACACAATATTATCCCCATTTGTGCTATTCCTAGTTCCATCCATGAATTTTATTTGCTAAGCAAGTGAACACTATTTATAACACTAATGAAAGCGTTACTTTCAGTGTAGAGATGTCATGTAGAAGAGACATTAATATTAATGCACAAGTTGAAAGCTTCAATGCTATATATTTTTTATTCGTGGTTTTTTAACTATGCTAAAGCATTCGGCTGGGTTTGGGGAAATATAATGAGGATTACAGTGATGTCCTGCAGCGAACCAATGTCACTCGGCCCAGAATGTACTCGATCCAGTATATATTTTGCAGAATTGTAAGGAAGCACTCCAAACGTAGTCAACACCTTGCACCCTGCATGATAGATGCAGATCAGCGTTAAAAGATTGCATCATTTTCTTCTAGTTTCAGCATACCTTTTAAATGCCGAGCAAACCTTATCACTTGTCGTATAAATTTTGGCTGGTCGGTGCATTATGAAAACGCTGTAACTGTGTTTACTGTCTTGGCACAATACTGCCATCACCGTTTTGTATTTTGCACAAGCAAGCAGTCATTAAACGCAAATGCGTCTATGGACAGTTTTCGAAATGCAGAGTGGGTCGCAAGCTGCCCCACGAACGATTTCTCATATGTGTCTTTGTATGACCAGAAACACTAAAGTAGCACCGCAATCCCACATTAAAATCTAGTTTTACTGAATAGAAAGTTGCGTTTGTAATTGAATGCGCTAGGTCAGGTCAGATTCAGCCTAGGTAGCTCAAATTCCACTGTATTAAAAGTATGCCCATCACTTTCAAAAAAGTTGACAGGCATGTTTTCTTCGATTTTGGCTTTTGGTGGTTGCATTCATCTGCTTTGTAGAACTCAACTAGTTCAGTTGATTTTGCAAATTTTCGATTTCAGCATACACTATGATTATCATTCGCATGCCTATAGGTCTGAAGTGAGCCACAAAATCTGACCGCTAACCGTTACATGAGTGCATATCAATCTTCTATCGTCAGTCCCAACTAAAAATAGGATTTGAAATTCTACTCTGGACTAGAATCTTTGGTACACAACTTTACTGAGTTATTGCATAGAATAGGTTATGAAAAATAAAGCATGTTATTTCACTGTCATGAAAAATATTATGGAAATGAGAAAAAGAATATAAGCAATAATTTAAGGTGAAAATAAAGGGAAAATGCATTGTGTTAATCGAAAATTGCCATGCTGTGCTCTGTAAGATCGAATGGCCTAGTAATCTAGGTTTGCCAAAGGCTTAACTACACTGCCCATTACCTTACGCACCATAATCCGCGGCTGAGTGGTCAAAGTCTGCACGTGATTCTGTAGTCATGTACATGATGTATACCAAAGCGTTTATGGTGTAAAATATGATAATGATATTTAAGAAAGTAAATGTGTGGCAGATCTCTGAGTATTTATTTTACTTTGTCCGTGAACTAAACGTTCCAACAGAGCTGTGTTTAAAGGTATTGCACATGAATTACCGCGGCTTTTTGGTTCATTTACAAAGCACAGAAGTAAAAAGGAAGATGTATAATATATGCTTTATGTCTAACCTAATTTACACCGGAACTAACTCTGACGATAAAGGAACTGCCTAAGATGCACTGGCACTAGCCTTATTGACAGTAAGTTGCAGCAAACGCACGTTAAATTTAGTGAACTAAGTCTATGTAGCAAACAATCAATCTGAATGATCCATACATTATGATATAACTTTAGCCGCTAACCTTCGAGGACAATGTTGGAGTGTATCACCAGATTACTACATTTAGCTAATTTAAACACACCACATCAATACACTACGTATAGATTGGATTAACAAATTACATTTAAATCAACTTTCCAACTGACCTGATGCATATGGCGGTATATTAACGTAACACATCTTCGAGTTGTAAATAGGGTCTTTAATCACTGTGAAGAAGCGATTTGGGGCTTTTTGAGCAATCAGTAGTAAGTCAGGGAACATCAGTAAATCGACCTTTGAGCATGTGTTGCACTCCAGCAAATTTAAACAACCGTAATGCTCCAAACGCGGTGAGTGAACACGAAAGTCCACGTGTTTTATATGATTGAGGTATTTCAGATTTTCCACAGTACTTATGCTATTATCCAGCCAGGAGATTCCTAAAGGAATCTTTGAATTCATCATGAATTTGTTATCTGCATTGCAGGTATCCAAAAGTGGAAGAGTTATAAGCCTCGCATCCTTTGAGTTTACTGGTTGTGCCTGTGAGGAGAATGGCCATGGTTCAGCTGGTTTGAATGATGAACAAGGCTTCTGACCCAGCGGGTTCATTGGCGGGATATTCTGAAAAAGGGGATGCCATTTCAAATGCGTAAGTTCATGCATTTTCATTTAGGCGAAATAAGGTACGTGTGTCATTTAAATGTATTTTGTAGTAGCAGCTGCTAGCTGTTTGCAGTTCCCACTTCACGATAGTTTTGCAGGACTTGTGCCCACCAGGTATAGATAGCCCGACTGCAATGTCTAAGTTTCAGTTCAGTACGAGCCGCTTGCACTTTGCAATTCTTCCTCACAAGGTACAGTTAATCTGGCTCAATTCGTTTAATGAAGCCCACTTAATTTTCTTATAATGTCCGAATTTGTCGCAATTAAACATAGTGCATTCTAAAATGTTTACTATCGTAGGCCGCGTTAAGACCAGTGTTGAGTGAAGGCAAATAATGACGTAAAACCATGAACAGGAGTGTTTTGCTAAACGGAACAGTCAAAAGTCAAGAAGTCATCTCGACAGTTGGAAATCAAAGAAGTTTAGGTTCATTGCGCTTTTAGATTTTCCCATATTCCCATATATATATTTCCCATATTCACGCATATAACTTTGGTTAGAAATTTCCTAAATACTCTAAGGATCGACGTGCATGAAGATTTAATGATAAAAATATGGATAAAACGTATAGATTTTCAGAATAAATAAATAATTGGTTATGTGACTGTTACCGCAAGGTCTAACAGAGAACCTTTCATGGACAGCTTGATATCGCGACCTTTTGGCGAATTTTGTCTCATAATATCCGAAAATTTTGCTCAAGCAGAGATCTCTATTCATTCTAGTTGTTTATCCTTCGGGTGTTTTACGGTATGAACAGAATATAAGGATCTTGATCCACGTTCAATTTCCTATGATGTATAAAAACTAGACCCATTCTAGAGCCACGGTATTTTAATCTTATTGGTAGCAACAATTACCATCTTGAAGAGGCGATATACACGGTGTGCTAAAAATACAATAATGTACAACATTAAATGAGCCGTTTTTGCATTAAAGCAGCTTTGGTACAAATCAGATAATATAAATTTAGTTTAGCACCGAAATAAATCGTTATGTTTCAGTTCAGCATAAACGCGCATAATTTTTAAGTAACTTGCAAACTAGCTGGTACTAATTGAACCTTATAGAATATAAGCGGTCAGCCCCTTCTTCTGCGTAGAGCACTCATTTATCCAGAAAACATGCTGACACTTGCCAATCCCGCTTCCTGAATGCTCGACTGAATTTTGTACCTTAATTTTATGACACGATAAATTGGTTTAAAATCTAAATGCTAAACAGTTAAGTTTAATGTGTGCAGCTTATTTTAGCCAAGTAGGTTTGACCTTCATTATAAGAAATTTAATTGATGTGACAGAAGGATCTAGCAAACCAAATATGGACAAATCATTTGATTTTCGCAAAATAAATGCGCTCATATTCGTCTAGTAGTTTGGCGACCAATTTGCTGCATTCGAGCCAATATCAGGGTTATCCTTCACTTGGTCTGAATATTTGAAGGACACTTGGTGAGAATCAGGATAGAGCTGTATGGATAGTTCAGTTGTTTTGACGACCTTCGTGGTTGGAATGATCGCCGAATTTAGTAATCTTGCTGCAAGGCGGTCCTTACCACTGCAGCGAACTTAAACAGTGGAAGACTTTTGGTTGTTTGTTTGCGACTGCATTCACTAGGTGACAACAGAAGCCATTGTTTCCAACTGTAGGTTTATTCTCATATGTGCCCCTGGCATTTGTTAGTTCTAAGAAGTCCCATTTTAAGGAGTTACAAGTAAGTCGATATAAGCTATAATCTATAATCTACATATAGTTTAGTTACATTAGAAACCATGGTATCAATTTCATGTGAATGGGCGTGAACAATTTGTGCAATGAGTATTCATGTGTCTGTAACTTGATAAACTTTTTAAAGTGTGGATTAATTTTAACCAAAATATGCAAACCAAAGTAAGATATCCACTTACTTTTAGCATATTTATCATTCAAGTAAAGATCAATCAGACAAAGCGTGTGCACTATCATAAACTAGCCATCCAAATTTACTTTACCATGAACGCCGTGTAAGTTAAAACTTGTGGGTTGAGCATATTTATTCTATGGTTTTCCATTAGCGTCACAAAAAGTAAAGTACACAGTAGTTGCAATAAGTAAATCTGTAGTTACCAAACCACAATATTGGTAATTTGTGCGTCTCGTCTTTAGCATAAAAATCTTGCTCACCGTACAAATCCAGTTCTCCAAATGCTCCATCGAACTTAGCTGTTTTGAATTAAAATTGTTACTCAGTGCTGACGGCGGCACAAATCAAAGATGCTGGCAAAACAGTTCACAAAATAGCTTACATCAAAGTTAGCTGTATATTGGAGCCGCCAAACCTGGGAGTTCAAGATATCCAGCCTTGGATCACCTAAAGTAATAGTAGCTATGAGCTTATACAATTGAGCTTCCTAAAAATTAGCTAAGCTGGGCTTTAGTAAACGCAAACTTATTCTATCCATCAAGCCTTTCTTAGAGGTGACTATATTTCGTATGCTACATTAAACTTTATATTTTAATGCAACTCATTTACTATATATCAATTATTGGCAGACATATATAGCGGCCGGTATCGGCATATTACTGTTGATCCGGAACCAAATTTACCTCACCCATTCTGGTACTCACTTATAGTACAAAACCTGGAGGACCACCAACTAAGTCCACCCACGCAGTATATCCAACTGGAATATTGTCGAAATTTCTGCGCATTTCAAGCTCAACCAATTTGGAACGCTATCCATGCTTACGTTCTTTGTGTTACCGAGTTAATGATATGTAAAATATGAGTTGACCTATCACTATGCTGTTTATAACTTTTATACCTTGTGTTTGTCTATTTAACCCGACCAATATCTGTATCTCGGAATTCGAAATAAGTGAGCTCATATTTTTAACATGCGAGCATTTCAGTTGATCCAACAGTGAGCAGCTAATGTTATTGGGAGACATTCCTTTGATTTCGCAGTGTTATTTTGAACCACTTTGTATGACATATTAAGCGTCAACTTTTCAACAATCATGTACTATTTTTCTATAGTTTCCTTGTCGGCCAAACCAGCATCACGTATTCTGCTTGATTTCTTAGTTTTTCTACCGCGTACCCGGCAAACCAGTTAATAACTGAGATCTGTTTTAATCCTTGCACTTTGTCCTACTGTCGGCGCTTTCACCCTTATCTGGCCATAGGAATTAGTTGTTTGCAGCTTATCCTTTTGATTGCATACTTATTTTTATATCTTTATTAATTAAGGACGCTCATCTTTCGTGCTTGGTTTGCACTGCAGTTGTGCGACTAAAATTCATAAGAAAAATAGAAAGTAACTAGAAATGCATGGTTACTTTAGACAAGCTCCAACTTTAACCGGAAAACGTTGTAAAATAATACGTAACGGATCTGATTATTCAAGATTCGGGATGACTTCCATTCCTCTTACTAAGCCCAAACTTGGAAATGTGTTTTTTATACCAAGTAAATAAGATGGGTAACAGAACATCGCACCAGTTCACATAGTTCACCATTCTATAATAAAATTTAAATGGAATAATTTACTGATTTGCCGGAAATTATGGTTAACCAGATGTGCAGGAATTAAAAATTACTTTGCCGAAAATCTTGATGGTGAACCTACACAAGACTTCCGGTTGATGGAAATCAGTGACGCGACCGCCGGGTGTATGGTCGGCTTGTTTCTTTCCAACAGTAAAGTTAATCAGGTCGGTCCGGAACAAGAGGCTACACATCCCAGTTGAACCGCCATTGTGCCTTAAAGCGTCGCCTAGGCATTGCAGTTAACTGCAGGTAAACCGAATTAAACCGATAAGCTATGAAAATGGATGTCACACGCCGTATTTCGCTATGTGAAATACTCCCCGCAGTAGTCAGTTATTCACATTTATATGAATAATAAGTCATCAACAGAGTGAAAACAAACAGCATTACACGGCATTTGTTAGATTGTGATAATTAATGTTTAAAGCAAAACACTTGGTATGCAACTTCGTAGAAGATAGTTTTGCCTTCCATATGCCAGGAGGTTTTGGATCTCCCGTACTTACTTGTGGTCCGAGCAAAATAGAATTTGTTGGTGAGTTGGATGTAGTACATTTTATAGTCCCGTTAGCATCGCATAGTCGACCATCCATTAGAGAAGTGCTGAAATGAGATGCTATTGCTTCAGCACCTGTGGTCAACTGGTAGGATGATTGAGAGCTTGATAAGTTTGAATGGCGTTGTAGGTTGGACGGTGTACCACTTGTCATGTACTGAAAGTTGTAATCTGGCTGAGGTGACACCGGGGTTGTGAGGATAAACGAATACCGCTCTTGGTTGCTGCTTCGTGCAGCCGTATCTCCTTTACTAAGAGGCTGGGCGGCACATGAGTTGTGTGTTTTCTTTGGCTGAGAGAAGCAGCTCTTGGAGAAAAGTTGTGTCAGGGATCTACTAGCACTTCCATTTCTTGTGACTGGAGGCATTCTGATAGGAAACGTGGAAATTCGACCCACTGTGACATAGAGGGGATGCTGAGCTGTTCTGTCATGAAGAAAACAGATTATATTTGTAGGAAGTAAAAAATTAAAATATGAGTGTTTTTGCTTTTATCAGAATGCAACCATTTGTCTCATAACAGTCGGCATTTGCTCTGCATCATGCAGTGTGTCAGAAACGATGAATAGCAAATATGGATAATCGGTTGTTTGTGCGCCAAAATATGTAAGCTATAATTCTTTTGATGTGTATACTTAATGCTCAAATCCTTTCACCAACAAACAGAACAACGCTCCCTTTATCCTTCCTAGGCTCTGTATTGGTTTCGGACTCATGCACCATCTGACAACTCTTAGGCCAGATTCTCTGGTTTCTTAAGCAGTAAAAACAATGTCACACAAGCTTTACTTTAATTTTCAGCGCATCTAAGATTATGCCTCAGAAAGAATGGGCCTCAGCGGTCGCAGCAACTAACCAATCTTAGACAGTGCTGTCAGAGTAAGAGTAATAGAATGTAATGCTCGTGAGACGAGTAAAAGTAAGCATCACCCCAAAATGCCAAGTGTAGACGATGTCCTTATGCACAGGCGGAGTGCGACATGTATAGATTCCATGAAATTTTACATGTTACAAAGGTGAAGTTATTGTTCGGAATTCAAGCACAAGCTGCTTGCAGTCACTTTAATCTATGTTGCCGGACGGCTTTTCTCGCTCGGTTGGACAGGCCAGTTTGCATCATTCATTACTTTGTGCAGAGCAGATTTTTGGTGTTTGTTCTTGTCAAATTCAGCTTCATTTGCGACGCTTAATTTTATGTGCATCTGTGTGGTGCCCGTATATTTTAGGGTATACTTTGTATCGTGTACTTATCAACCACTTTATCAACTTTATCGTCACATCTGATAAGCTATCCGTAATAACAAAGCTGACTCCCTGTGGCGCTTCCCACAAAATAGTTGGGCATAGGAACAATGTGTGAATCGCCACATTTCGTGTATTGGTTTGTCTTTAGATCATTGTAAACTGCTGCTTGAAAATTAACACGGCTTTTCCAAACATCGTTCAAGAAATGTCAAGCCAATGTGCAGTCACAAACAGCCGAGGAGCAGCGTGAGCCTGCGAGACGGCGAAAGGTTCCATAAAGGGGAGTTTGGCAGGTTCATCCAAAAAAGCGGACACCCATCCACTTCTATGTTGGAAACAGGTCACCTGCATGCCGGCTGAAACCTCTCCAGCGAGATGTCCACCCGCATCTGGAGCCTCAGCTGGCGTGTCTGTGTTGCGTCCTACGGACAAAAGCATACCGGTGTGCGATAACTCAGGCGATGAAAGACAATGTAAAATGCAGTGAAGCAAAAAAAGAGGAAAACTGCTAGCAATCAGCGGCGTTCTAACCTTATGCTATTTCACGCGCTTGAGTCGGCGGATGCTAGTCCTCATGCTCGTTAGTACCAAGCCGTGGATTTCCGTCAAAGCCTGATCGACAGGCTTCTCGACGTGGATGAACAGAGATAGCTAGTCAAGCAAACCACCTGCCTTGGTAAGAGAGAGCAGGCAAAGTCCCGGCCTCTGCGAGTCACGTTTGTTGATAAAACGAATCCGAGGCGGATACTATCCCGCCTCAGTAGCGTAAGTGGTTAAAAGAGCCATATTCATCCAGATTTGGATAGGTGTAACAGAGATAAACTGAAGTCAGCTATGGTGAAGTTGAAGCGGCGGACTGATGGTGGAGAAATCAGTCACAACACCTTAACTTTTCGTACAGTTCCCCGGGTGCGATGAATCCAGATTAACAAGTTGATGACGCTTTGCGCGCGTCCGTGGGCTTCTAACTCGGACTGCGCGTCGACTTTAGACAATTTTGTAGTTTAATAAACAAACGTGACGACGTACTTCACTTTGTTGTCTTTCGTCGTCTGGACTCAGTAGGACTGTCCAAAACCTGGTTAAATCCTGAGATTACTATCCAAGGTATCCAGATCAGGGGCTACTCGTGCTTCCAAGGCGACAGACTATAAAACGATCAAGGCAGCGTGCTGTTATACGTTCAGTCCACGCTCTGTGGGAGACAGGTACACACCCAGTGCAGTGAAGATGGCCTGTGCGAACATTTATGGTGCTAGATCCGCCTAAGACAGAGCGAATTACTTCTAAGTGCGGCTTATCGTAGCCCGCGAATTCGATGTCTGGATTAGTTGCCGCATGCCACAAACTAAATGAGTCTGGACCGTTTCTTGCTTATGGGCGATTTTAACTGCCCTCCAATACGGTGGCCTGCCGATCAACTTCTCCTAGGGCACTGTGAAATCGAGGCGCAGTTTGCGAAAATGATATTTGAAACTGGGGCAGCTCAACATGTCTGCCAACCAACGCGAGTTACACCACATTCAGCTCCATCGTGTTTGGACCTACTACTAATGAGTTGAGAGCAATATATATTAAAATCAGGTTCTGGAGCCTCTGGCAGCTAATGACTACCTAATGTTGTTATCCAGCACGGAGCTGCCGCTGCCCCACTCGCGTCCGTCGGAGACGTCCTACAATTCTTGAAAGACCTACTTCTATGATTACAGTCGAGCCGCCAGTGAAGTAAACTGGTCGCTGCCGCAGGATTCATCTGTTGAAGCCTGTTGGCCCGCTATGAAAGAGAGCGTAAAAGTCTTGGTCATACTTTTCGTACCCCTCAACTATAGGAAATCTAAACCAGTGAGGCCGCATTAGTTTAACAGTGAGTATGGCCAACTGGCCCTACAGCGACGCGTATTGTGAAATAAATTCCTCCTGTCTCGTTCTGTCGACGATTATGAGGAGTACAAAGGTAGTAAATCTATGCAACAGCACACAAGTGCAATCGAGTCGTCAGTTCGTAGAACAGCGTGCAACCTAAGGAAACACGGCCTTTAAGCTGATGTTTGCATACGTGAAGCGGAGCCTGAGGACCGCAAGTGACGTAGCTGCGTTAGATAGCAATAACGGACAAACACTAACGTCCAGCATTGAACGAGCGTCTGCATTGACGGGGCACCGATTCCGTAGTTACAAGCGGACTTGCGCCTATGCCGGGCTCAACGTGTACAGCCCTTATTAAAACCGCAAAAACGGCGTTGCGGTGTAGATGTCCGCAGTCTATTCGCCAGTCTTGACGGCACGAAACCTGCCGGACCAGATGAACTTCATTCGCTAATTTTAAAGTTCTTTTGGACCATCATCTCGCTTGCCGTAACAGATCTGTTTAACAGATCAATGTCCGAGGGTGCACGGTCGAGCTACGGAAAACGCTTGGTGGTAAAGGCGATTTCAAAAAGCGGTGACCCACGCAATATGGACAATCACCGGCCGATTTGTCTCACCTCTGTTTCGGCGAAGGTGCTCGAGAAGATTGTGAAAAAGGGTCTTCTGCTGTCTGAGTGTAAAGATCTCCTATCGCCGGCACAACACGGCTTCATGAAGAGCCGCTCGTGCATCACTAACCTGCTGTGGACGCGGCAGGAATAGTTACAGCTGTTGGACCAGGGGAAGTTAGTGGATGTTATCTACATTGGTTTTAGTGAAGCTTTCGATAAAGTTAACCATTAATTCTTGCTCTACAAGCTGAGGATGTGTGGTGTTGGTGGCGCTCTGCACCAGTGGATCAGTGACTTCCTCATTGAGAGGCGATGGCTGGTGCAGTTGCATAATCACCTAAAGCAACAGTAAACGTCAATTAGCGGCGTACCACAAGGCACAGTGCCGGGGCCATTTTATTCCTGCTCTACCTAACCGATGCACACCAGCTTTTTCAGGAGTCTTGTGCAATTTTTGCAGACAACTTAAAGAGTTGGATGGTTATTGGCACTTCCGACGACTGTGAGGTCCTTCAGCAGGACTTCGACCACCTATTCCGGTGATCTGCAGACGTTGACCTGCCGGTCAACACCGCCAAGTCCTCGTTTATATGCTTGAGGAGTGGTGGTAATGGGTGTGCGTACACCTTGGTTGGAAACGCGCTGCATGCCACCAGTTCCGTAAAGAATCAAGGCATATACTCACTCTGTGATCTGAAGTCTGTTGACAACACGAAGAGACTGTACGCAAAAGGACTACTCTTGGTTTAGGCACTTAGACGCAGCTTCTGTCCTTGGTCTGAAGGGATTGATACCTGTCTGTTCTCTTCCATGACACGACCGGTGCTTGAGTGCGGCTTACCCGCTTACTGTTTTATTACAACAGTTGTGCGGCAGAGACGGAAACGGGTCCGGCATATAGCTACCCCGCACATCCACAGTTTACGGGGTATGTCGTGAAAGGACCGATGTAGGAGAGTAGGACTTTATGCCTTGTCATATCAGCGACTTCGAGTTAATCTTATTGTGACGCACCGGATACTGCACCTGGACCTCTTCGCTAGGTTGAGGCCGCTGTTGTATGTTCGTGCACCAAGCAGCACAAGCAGACACCGGTACAAACTAGTGGTACCGAACTTGAAGCGCATCGCTCACTTCGAGAGTCGAGTGGTGCAACCTTGGAACGGATTAGCGCAGACGTTAGCCGAGGCGAAATCGGTGTAGGAATGCAAGAGAGCATTTGACGCTTAATTTGTGGACTACAGATATATGTAGCACATCGCAGTCGGATAAGACGTAGTGCAGCTGCAATATGCTGCCACCCCACAGGAATCAGCGACGTGATTCCGCGCATGTGCCTGATCCACCTAAGATGGAGCAACGCAGGTTTCTAATTTCACGCTCTCTTCTCAATATTTTGTATTCTATGATAAAATAAGCATAGTTCCTGGGTTCACAAGATGCTGTTCCATTTAATAGTGATAAGCGATTATGTACAATTGTGGTCATGATCTTTCATGAGAATATTTTCGTAGCATCCGTTAAAGTGTGACTGATGTCAAGCTGGCGAATTTAGTAAATGTGTAGCCCGTATGCAAGCGTTATGGTAGCACGTTAAAAGGCAAGCGACAATTGTGGGTCGCCTCGACTACCATCCCCACTTCCTCTTAGTTTGTTGCGCTTTGGCATTATTTATCCTTGCCATTTCCTTGCTTGCTTTGAGGTCTTCTTTATATAGGCCTCTTACTAGTTGGTCGTCGTATGAGACTCCAGTGGCTTTCGTGGGATTTGTTTCATGCTGTACCTCGAAGACTCTGGTACCACCGTTTGCACTAAGTTGGCAGGCAATAACACACAACAATGCCTTGGAGGAATATTCCAAACGACGTGATATTGTAGATTTGGTTTAACGCATAATTCAGGTATATTTCATCGCATAATGCGTGCTGCGGATATTCGCTATTTGTGGAGCTGTATTAGTGAGGAAGCAACGTTTAGACTAACCATGCTGATGTTTAATTAAACATGGGGATCACAAAATCTTATCACCTTTAGCTGTATCTATGTTTTTTTCGGATCATCCAAACTTTAAAGCATATGACCAAAATGAAAGAAAAGCACTTATATATTTGCTTGAAAAACCAGAATACTACGAGTTTGGTACAAAAAAACATTTGTCTATACATATGTCGTAAAGCCTGCTTGCGGCAATTATAATACATAGAATTTTCAGTTAGATAGAGTTCCGTGCTTAGGTTTTAAGACGTAGCCGTTGTGTTTCCTAAGCCATCAATAATGTCCGGACCGCTTTTAGACTTTTAGTACCCATGATTATTTTCGCGAATTTGATGAGTTATATCTTAGCGTTATTCGGAAAGTATGGTTTTTGCTGTATATGTACGCTTGGTATAATTTATTTCAACCATCATCTTATGATTTTCTAAATCAGAACAGAATGTAACCGTATTGCAACTTATTCTTGACTGCTATTATTCCAACTAAGCTTTGAAGCGTACTATTTATTAAAAACGAGCTAACACTTATGAGTAAGGTAACTAATATTCAGATATCCAATTTATTGCTTCTAAAGTCTTTTGTTGCATTCCATTGCAAAAAGCCCATTTCGCAGGTTGTAGTTGTCTGGAATGGAATTAAATTTACAACAATTTCGCGTACCGGGAGAATGAGTATTGACAAAAGTCAACTCACCTAAACATTTTCACCACACTGTCTGCATTCATTCCGGAAACATTGAGATGATTGATTGCGATTATGAGATCACCGGCTTGGATACCTCCTAAATGGGCTGGAGACTGTTGCTCAACGTGGCTGACGTACACAGGAGAACAACCCACCAATGTGAATCCAAAACCTCTTGAACCACGTGAAAGCAAAAACTATGAAACAAACAAGAGATTGTGTTTTAAATGTAATTGAGCATACGTTCAGAATAATGTTAGAGATTATAGACGTTAGTATAACAGTTTTATCATCTCAAGCATACATTTCTTCTGCACTTAATGATATCCAAGTTCCTCGAATGTGTCTTAACTGAGGTTATGTGCCAGAGACGACAAAGTATATTTAGGGCAACCGGCCGATTTGACTAAAATTTGTGCCAATTTAAGTTTTCGATTTTTTTGCCAGAGCAACCAAGGCAGGTTAGAGGGAAAAACCGAAATCGGATAATCACAAAATTCAGATAGGTTTATTAGTTATTTCAGAGCGTTTTGATAGCCGAACTTAAAAGTACAGCGTTAACAGATATATTAACCTTGAACTAACATTTAAAGATTCCAATATTCTAATGATAATATGCAAATATTTCAGGGTTCCGACTTGCAAGGCATAACATTAAAACAACTGGTTTCGCAAATGTTGTCAGCAGGTGATTTCGGAATTGCAAGCCAGCTGAACAAAGAGCATATCAAACTTCTAAGATTTCACGATTTCTCTGAAAGATGTTTTGTCTAAGAAGCGTACATCGAAACGGCTTAAATCTAAAATATATTTCTCAACCGTTCAGTGTATACTAACGGCACAACAATACATGTTATGTCATAGGCCAGTTGTGTTTTCCGATATCCTTTGAATTGCCATAAGGCATCTTCATTGTAATTTTAAATAATTCGGGATTCGACAAGTATATTTCCTTTTTATGGGCAAAACCACAGACGTTGTGAAGATTGGCTGTGGCGTACATGAATATAAAAACAGATGACTATTAAAGCGCCGATTTCAAGCCTAAATGATATTCGGTGCGATGAATTGAAACACGTCTCATACAAAGTTCATGCTAATTACATTAGTTGCTAGTATAAGGAGCCATTATGTGCTGTATATTTGGCATCATTATGTACAAAAGGCTTTCCATCAGCCTACTTTTTTATCGTATCTTTCAAATAATTACATATACATTAGGTGCGCTTACATCTTAGGAAGTTCGAAAACAAATCGTGTTAGCAGCAACATATCAAGCTGTACGACGTAAGCACTTTTCTTATTATTATATGTGCAAATGACACAAATAGTAACCTGAGATGGTCAGACAGCCATCAATCAATTTAAAACGAGAAAATTCCATAAAAGCTGTTACAAATTTCGCCGGCCACTTACTGGTCGGCGAAGCTTCACTTATGAGTTGTACAACCTCCGGAACATTGATTAAATTTGAGGAACTTTTATGTATAAACACTAACGCCCAAGGGCTCTTCAGTAAAATTACAAATTTGACTACGTCAGGTAGCTAATCCATGGGACTGAATTCCTATTACCGAAAATTGGTAGCACCAAGAGGTGACTGATGCTGAGGTTGAGATAGCCAGAATGTCGCCCATCAGGAATGACCCACCCAGCAGAGGAGGTGAAGGGTCCTACTCCACTATATCAGCGACTTGTCATGTGCAATAGTTGCTGATCTGGAAACGCACGTAACCGACTCAATCTGTTGCCAGCTCCGAATAGGACACAACAACGCGCGTCTCGTAGCTGTCGTTTACCGCCTCAAAACGTCCACTCCGGAAATGGATTCCCGCTTGATACGTGTCCTGAACAGAGTAACACGCACTAGTTACAGCTACATTTTCAGATCCGGAGACTTCAATCTACATGATCTGGAGGTATCGGCATCACCTAGGAAACAGTTCAAAGCCGTGTCATAGAGGTCAGCAGGTAACTAAACATTTTGCTGCATCTTTAAGCCACGTGGGTTTATGTGCTGTAAGCAAGATGTTGCAGAACACTGCGTATAGAAATTATTTAGGATAACTTTAATGAATAGACAAGTGATAAGGATTACCTACGAGAGCCAAATACTCTAATAAAGCAAATGATCAGCGGTAGTTAGCTCCGAATCAGATTGCCTTCATCAGACAAATTCCGATGGGAAGAAGAGGCCACTTAACGCTTCGCCGGATGGGTAGAAGGACGTCTAGCCAGGAACTGCTTGCGACCGATGATCCTTAATATCATTAACAAAGAACTATCTAGTAAAACTGCTTCGTATGGCTTTGGGCAGAATACGATACTTCATTCAAAAAATACGAAAGGGGTGATTCTACGAATTACCAGTTAGAACACAGATGTTTTCTCGGAAAACAATTGCTGGTCCATGGGTCATGGAGCAAAACTGATCGACGGGTCAATTTTAAATAAATATGGACTTTAAGTGTTGTTATAAATGCAAACTACGCTTGTCGCTGTGATGACTGAACAATGACTCATATGGCGCAGATATCCAGTCTGTATTTTATCCTAAATTTTGAGTAATCTGTTTCCTTGACGCTAAGAAGAAAGGTATGCGTTTGATTATTCTTTTGCCTATGGACTTGTTACTACCACATGCTAAGGGTGTTGCAGCCTCTGGGCAAAAGTTACTCATTGAATGATTTCTGAAATTAGAATACAAAGTTGGTCGAACTGATGATATACACCCCAAACGTGGATTTAGCAAAATCCAACAGGTCCTTAATTTCGCTTTAAGCCAGCTCACTAAATATCATCATAATGACAACAGTATTTACACGCGGCTTGTATGCTGCTCCAATATTTATAACAGACACAGAAATAGCTTGCCATTTGATAGACACATGTTCTAATTTCTACCTCGCTTGTCAATTGATCAGGTTCTCTGCGGACTGCTTGTGGAAAGACTGTAATTAGAACCTAACGTTACAACAATAAAAACGTGATCCGTGTAAAGTATTGAAATAAATGAACCCCATCTTTCAAAGTTATGGGGGTTGCGGTCAAAAGGATGTAAACTGGGTTCTGGTAACTAAGTTGAAATCCACATCTGGGTTGACGTAGCTTGTGCACCAACCGTCCTTGTGATAGAAAGCATCCATGATTAACTTCTGCAACATAGAGCCAACTTGTTAGACTGACAGTGAAGCATAATAATAACATACGGAAACGTTTTACCATCGATCGCAAAAGTATGCAGGTCTACGGCAATTGAAAGTAAATTCTCATCAAACCGTGACAGTCGGTAAACTACTGTTAAGAGTTGCATCTCAGCAAGAAAGCGCAAACTGAGTTTTCCCCTACTTTATTTATCAACTTGCGTTTATCCCTTTTAATAACGATGTTTCCTTCTTTCTCCGCTTTTCTGAGTTTCTTTCAATATATTCCTCAATGTCAACAAACAAATCCGTTAGGAAATAAAATTGCCTGCTTCACACACTCGACGATAGTGTTGCACGTTTGTAATCACTTCATTGCAAGATGTGCAGTTTTTGTCTATTTAACATCTATCTGCCTATTGTCTAAGGGCTTCTGCAGTAGGATTAATCTATTAACTTAATATATGAGATCGATTAGAATAAGTTTATCTAATTAATTTACCTAACTTGGACCATTTATCAGATCATATAGTTGTTTATCGGTCGCAAATGTTTTGGAAAATGGGCTCAAATCTGAAGCAGATTCGAAGCAACACAGCTTGGCAATTGCATGAAAGATTTGTATGCAACCTGTAGTTCACAAATAAAACCTCCACTATTTCTAACTAACAGGACCAGTCAGCTCCTGAAGTAATGATGCTTGGACATTTGAGTTAATAGAGATATGATATAGGAAAGGGTCATCCAAGATAACTTAGCAATATTGTCGTACCTAGAAACAGACGTAGTGTAGGTTGTCATCATATGAGCCAACAATTCCGCCAATTAGCTAAAGAATAAAAGCATAATCGGCTATTCAGCCAACCGGTTTAACTCATGTTATTATTTAGGTATCAAAAATAAGGCGTTTATTTTTATCGTGTATGCTGGTTTACCTGATGAAACTGCATATTTTGCACAGGGGGATAAGAATTCGCTGGAATAAAGGTGTTTTGTTGCATGGAACCAGCGCTGATGGCAACTGAACCAGTTTTTGCAGGAGACAGACTTGCTGCCAGGGTCGGAAATTGCGATTTGCTTTGCACGTCTTTGAAGGGTATGCTGACAGGTATTGAATGTTGAATGTTTGGTACGCACTTGTCTAAAACAGGCAAGTTGACTGATGCTGAGGGGGTGTTGGTTGTAACATTCGTGATATGTTTCACTGGGCTACTCTGGACCGCGTCCACAACATCAACTTGTGTAGATTTTATTGTCATTGTTGTTTCGACAGCGGCCTTAAGGTGCTTTTTTCTAGCCATTGTTTCATTGAGTAGAAAATACCAACCAGATATCTGTAAAACGGAGAAACAAATAAGAATAGGGAGTTGACTTCAGGCCAATTAATTTTAAACCGATTTCATTATTTCTAACTATAAACGACAACTTTGCGACGTAGGTTATTTAGTAGTTGAAGAACCAACAGACAGTGATTTAGTAGCTCTTTCTCCTTTATATGCATTCATTTGATCGATCGCTTGGGTATCATAGAGACAAATTAAAATCGTGCTTTCAAGAGTGAATATAGCGATGCAACGCATTGCAATGTGTTAATCGTCTTTTATCAAGAGTGGTATCAAAGAATATTTCGACAAGCTAAGTGTAGCTAGCTAAATTATCTGTCTGCCTCTACCGTTTTGCTTACACGAAAGACAAGTACATTGACGACATGTTACCGCACATCGTTTGGTAGATAATTTGGTCTATGCTCTATCAAATTTATTGCGTCACAAAATATGTAGTATATGTTTGGTTGGTTCTTCATGAGTGCCACATCTGTTTGAATGTCAGTAACATCTAAATTGTCCGGAAAAATACAAACTAGTATTGAAATCAAAATTTGCTGAATGTCTAGCAGACACAATGGTATGGTCATGAACAACAACATTAGCATTAAAGTGTTGGAACGTTGGGAGGCGAAGTGAACACTATACCTAGCGCCCAAAATACAAATATCACCGTGATATACATGTCAGAATATGGCATAAATTCCATGTAGCTTCAACTGGTAAGTATTAAATTCATTTGTTGCAAAAGATATGAGTGCGTCAGTAGCTGCAGAACGGTGTGTCCTATTATCATTAAAAATTACATTCAGAGCACTTAATTTCAATCAGTGCGGCACATTTGCAAATGCAGGGACCAAATGGGTGCCATATCACAATACTTGGAGAAATTTATTCTTGAAGTGATCTAGTATAAGCAAACGCTACAAAACCAGGGTCTACTACCAAGGATATAAATAAATACCTCACAGTTTAAAACATGTAAGCAAGAAAACGAAATGCAATTAATCTTATAAACAGCTAATGCACGGCTCATACAGCGCCCATGATTGATACTAGTGTGTTTCGAACGTGTAACGTTGGGTGATATCACTTAAATTGTCAATTTTTAAATACAATATTGCACAAACCTATTGGGTCGCGTTCCGAATTATCTTTGCTGATCAGTAATGATCACTACCATAACCTTTGCCGTGATAACTAATTATCTTAAGTCCCAACTGCGTGAAGAACACTCCTTTCTACCAAATCCACTAGATACTTTAAGTTAAAACTGGCGCTTGAACTATTCGCAGAGCTTGGTGATTTTGTTGCAAGCGTTTCGTCACCTATCAGGGTGATATCCTCAGTGCGTAATTGCATGGCATGCAGCAGTGTATAGCAGAGTAGCGGAACAACGGAGCCTCTCACCGAGGATCCTCTACGCCATAATCTCCGGCCACGTACTCTCATCGAATTTACTGTCGCACCTCTCATCACACACACGTGTGCTTAGACTCATTCGGTCCAGCTTCATCGGCGTCATTTAAATAAATAAATAAATAAACGAGTTATTCTCGACGAAACAAGAAACGTCTTCAAAGGTAGGATCATGTTAATACATACGCGTAACAAACAATCAGTAATGGTACATTAACGTTACGATTTAACCATTACATACTGGATATATGTGTGTATAAAAGTGCAGTATTTGCGTGGGCACATGTGTAAGTAATCGTGTTGTGTGCATTTGTTAGAATTACTGTGAATTTGTAAGTTTGTTCGATGAACCCACCAATATAGGAAGGGATAAGATGAAATCATTGAAGTGGTTGACGTTTGTGAAAAGTGTAAAATCATCCGGTATGGCAATCAGTGACTTTATTTAGTTGTGAGTCATATCCACCACGTCACAGTGTTGCTATACAGATATATGTAGCTTTTTCTAGGGAGAAAGCTTGCCGAGCAAAAGCACACCACTTCCTGGAACACTGCCGCAGAACTATTATCTGGACTGGGAATAACTCGGACCACCAAGCTAGAAACCACGTGGTGGTTGTTCAGCCAGCCATTCTATCTCTAGGATCTGACCTGTGTGGATTATCCGCAGTTGCAACATAGAAGTTTTCACACCGTTCCCCGAAAACACGATCGAGGAATTTTCCGAACACCGGGTTGCACAGAAATATTTATGGTCTCCAAGGGAAACCAACTCAGAAGTTTATATGATGAGCCCTCAAGCACGGTTATCGACTGATAAACAAATTAGCTATCAGATATTTTGCCTCCCCATCGCTTACTCGCTTAATTTAAACCTCACAGAGATTAGCTAGCAAAACATCCATTCACTTACTCCTAGTCGATCAACTGTAGACGCAGCGAAGGCGTTGACCCTGAAACTACAGCGTGATAGGAAACCACAACATTGATCGGTGAGATATCGATCGACGTACTGGATTATAACTACCAACCCACAACGGCTTTCCTTCATATCATAAAAGTGTACGTACCCGAATTCAGTGTTCAGATTACCGCATCAATTTTCATTCTAAATGCTCGAAGCTTACAGTAAACCAGTTGAAGATATATAAGAGTTAATCAGATTATCTGTGGTTCTGTGAAGTATGTACGGTTAACCCACTGATAAATGTTTACATGAACCAGCGCAGATACACGAAAGGCTGGTGGCAGTGATTAAATTTATGCCGAACACCAAAGGTAGTTTATTTGCGATCCTGTTCTACACATTGATCAGACCACATAATTGGACTGCACCTCGAATCCCTGAGGAATATACCATTTAGTTATTTAGTTAGTTAGTTTGACCGTGATCAACTTCAGCACTTTCTATTGGGCACCGTTGAAATACGGCGGAAGAATGCTGGGAAGAACGTTGAAAATGCATCCCCTGTTGCGATAGAAGTCAGAAGTACCAGCTGCCTAAATTTGCCTAAAACAACACCGCCAGTCCGATTAAAACAATTACGGTCACGACCTTATCCATCCTCTATATTGTTCCAAACTTTTGGAAGGATGTCGACATTGTTGATGGTTGGAACATGATTTCACCCATACCAATTGAAAAATTAGATCTTCGGTTACCTCCGCTGGGCCCAATGTAAATAAAGAAGACAAAGCTGTACTTCTACAGCTTCCACCGTTTGTGTGCAGACCAACTAAGCGACTGAAATCAATCCGAGCTACACAAGGTATACCATCGGTAGTCTGCATCAAGGTTCCAGTGTCAAGGTCAAATTCTTTGAAAGGAAAACAACTCGAGAACGGGAACCAGTGGAACTCCATTTGTAACATTATTGGTGTTGAGATTAAGCCTGCCAAACTGCCACGGATCATGCGTTACCCAAACGCACAGCACTACGGTGAAAGGAAGATTCTCCTGGTTTTACTGACTTTAGCCGCTGTAGCAGAATCTGTCCTGTTATGGACAGCGTACCTTCGAAATGGGTCATGTTCCCTTCGCATCTTCTTGTATATTCCGTAGAGCGAGCGCAAACAAGTGTAGCACGACTTGGAAGAAAACAGAAAGAAATCCGTTGCTATGACCATACTTTACTCGGTGTTCCCAAGGCTGGTGGTTATAATGAGGGCAAAAAGACTGCCCACAAGCAAGAGTAATGACAATAGATTCAATAGACCCAGTCCCTGGAAACTGTCATAGTGCAATCGACCACATCGCCGCGCAACTCATCAAATGACGAAGGAGGTGGTCCGAGAGTTGTGAAAGTGGTGCTACTATGCTGAAAAATGTCATCTCGGGTGTTGTAGAGCTGGTATGCTGGCCGTATCAGTCTTCCTTCCGAGCTCCGGCTCAAAACAACGTCCCTTAATCGAAAGAATTAAAGCAGTCATGTGGTCGGACTACCACCAGACATAAGTTCGGGTAACTTCACTTAGCTAACCAAGGAAGCTAGTAGACATACCTTATCCACAGCATATGAAGAAAGGAGAATGCAGCTAATGGCAGGATTGCTGGGTCTAAGACAGAGAAGTTCGTAGTCGTCTGACCCAAGGAACTATAAATTGCCGACCTTTCACTAATCGGCACATCATGCCCAAAACACATATCACAAGACACATTTCTAAGAAAAGAGAAACTCTCCTGCATGTACACCAAAGCACAAGGTTCCCTGATCAAGCTTGCCGCACTTCGGCTATGTTAAGCATCATACGCCTGGGACCCCGTATTCGTGACTGAAACTTGAGTGCATTCAGAAATTACTGACGTCCAAATTGCGATGCGTGGCATGCCACTTATTCGGAACGATCGCCACTGTAAGGAAGGTGAGGTAACTTATACTACCGTCCTGAATTGCAATGCAAACCGGTGGACGATACGTAAACGCTTCTCAGAGGTTTGCTCTGGTGCCGTCTGCGTTTAAGGCGCAAGGACACATCTCTTTTGAAAGTTGTTCATTGTCTCCTAATGTCCATCCCAAAGATGGATTCCGTTTAACATAAGTATTGATAAAATACTTTAACGACGATACACCCACGTTCTCCTCTTTGGCGACTTTAATGTCCAGGATTTGGAAGTCCTGGTTTCTCCTAACGCACAATTCTCTGTTCAAGAGCTTATTGCAAGCATTCTGCCATTTAGCTATGTCGTTTCGCCCACCAAATTAAGAACTGGAAATAATCCAGCCGTGCTTGTTTTATTGCACACGAACTACGAGCTCATGATCAAGAAACTAAAACTGAAGAGCCCTGTGGGGCGAAGGGATCACGTAAAATACTTTACGATTATGTGTGTTATGTGGAATATCCACAACAACATAGTGACGTGTTTGGAACAATCACCAATCATTATACACACAACACTTGTTGGTGATGCCATTGCGGTGTTTCTGGACACCGACTCCATCGGTACTATACGGTCGGCGTTTGCTAGATAGTCCAACGATCTGATTAAATGCGCATCTGTAAACACCCCCATAGGTTCTCCAGGAGCACCATCAAGCATTATTAGCGGAACCCGAAAACCCATGGAGTTAAAAGACGTAGCGTGGCAT